TTTTTTTTATGTGCGCCTAGCGAGGCGCAGATCGAAATCAAAGTACGCAAGGTTGGTGTCACTCTCGACTCCATTTAGTAGACTTTGTTTTTTACGTGACTCAAACTTTGGTGGCCATGCGCTCTTCTTGCTCAAGGGGAACTCGGAAATGGCTAATTAAACAGTTTTAGTCAGAGATCAACCAGCTGGACATTTTTTGGAAGGAAGCCAGCGTTCCTACCGACTCTCCTATAAGGAGTTTGAAAGAGTCACCCACCCATCTCAAGCCCAGAGTCTCTCAGGGCTTGTCAGCGGCTGGAGTTAACGAGCAGCACTGGGGACGAGAAAGAGGCGGCATCTTCAAAAATATAAACATGGCGTCCTACAATCCAGCATGAACATTCACTAGTTTCTTTCTTTTACCGTCGTGGTTAAAGATCAATGTCGCATCGTAGGATACACGATCGATTCGTCTACCCTTCTTCTTACTAAAAATGCGGCGTCTCTCGCAGACATGGAAGCAGAAGAGAACGTCGGACCGAAGTCAACATGTCTTCAAACAAAGAATTACTAACGTCCATGAACTGAAAAATGAAAAGGATAACCAAAGCAACTCCAAGGTGAGAGATGTTAGAGGGTTAATTTATATAAGTCGTATTATTATGTAATTGATTATAAACATCAAATCTGTTTTAATTCCGGTGAGCTGATAGACGTTTTCACGTACGGTTCTGATGCCATCTTGTTTAGGGGCAAACACGGCCAAATTACAGTTAAAGGTTTGGTTAAAAGTGGAGAATAAGAATCTACAGATCAAATTTGAGGGGAGAAGGCTCGCCATCATAGCTAATATTTAGGCTTTTTAAAAACTTTTCGCTGTGTCTAGATATCTGGAAGCTGGACAGCGTTTTTAAAATTTATACTCGGTGTCCGGCAGGCAGAAAATTTTCCATTTACGACTACATTGTATGTATACGTCTTGTTAGCAATACAATTATTGAGAACTAACCATAAGCTGGCTATCCAGCAGCCATTCATTTCAAGTTAACCGTATTGCTTATCAGGCTACATGGACACAGAGTATTACACATTCTTTATAATGTCCACTGGTAGAAAAGATTTACCTGTAAGACCTAAGAGCCCCACCAAATCTAAAAAACTAAGACCTAAGACCCCCCCTCCCCCCCGAATCTCAAAAACTAAGACCTGAGACCTGCGAATCTCAAAAACAAAGACTTAGATCCCCTCCAAATCTCAAAAGCTAAAACCTAAGACCCCCTCCAAAGCTCAAAAACTAAGGCCTAAGATCCCATCCAAATCTGAAAAACAAAGACTTAAGACCTCCTCCAAATCCCGAATCTCAAAAAGTAAGACCTAAGATCCCCTCCAAATCTCAAAAAGTAAGACCGAAGACCCCCTCCAAATCTCAAAAACTAAAACCTAAGATCCCCTCCGAATCTCAAAAACTAAGACTTAAGACACCCTCCAAATCCCAAATCTCAAACACTAAGACTTAAGAGGCCCTTCAGATCTCAAAAAGTAAGACCTAAGATCCCCTCTGAATCTCAAAATCAAAGACTTAAGACACCCTCCGAATCCCAAATCTCAAACACTAAGACTTAAGACCCCCTCCAAATCTCAAAAACTAAAATCTAAGACCCTCTCCCAATCTCAAAAACTAAGAACTTTGTTCGCTTCACTCGAAACTTAAATCAACAACATGCAAAAGACATTGTAAAAGGGGCAAAATAAACAAAAGCAATTAAGTAGTCAACTGGTAAGAGTAATTCGTGATTAAAAGATTAGTGGAAAGGAGTGGTAAGACGTACAAGTTTACAACACAAGTTTTTTTGAAATTTTACACTCCTTCGTTAACAATTACATGTAACTTTTTTCACTCATGTTTTAGGTCAACCAACAAGTTGTAAATGCACCATCTCCAAGTGTGTCATTCAACTTGTCATTTGGCTTTGAGTTTGATGCTGCCGATTTCTCAGAAGTTGACAAAATCGTCGACCAACACCTCCATTGTGACCCTGTGCCACAGTCCCCTCTGAAATCTTCAAATGGTGTCTTTAAAGGAAATGTTACTCCTAAGCCAGCTGGACTGGTTTTTACTCCACCATCCACCACCAACGGGAAAAGCGGATCTGTACCAAACAAGTTTGGCCGTGCCAGGGAGCGCATCTCAACACCAATTGAAGACTCGGAGAATATGGCACTGTTTTCTTCTGCTCATTCTCCTGTGTTTTCACCTGTCACTGGTGCTTTTCAACAGTTTGAAAACAGTACTGTTGGATCCCAAGTTAGCAGAAGAAGCTTTGAAAATCCTTCTGGCCATCCAAGCAAATGGTACAAAATATAAATTGCAATGTAAATAACAATAATGGTGATGATGATAGCATTTTACATGTGTACAGTTGCAAACAAGTTGCAGATATATTTTGCCCCTGGAAGAATTCCTTAGTGATTGCCTTACTCTGAGGGTTAAAGTGCAATTTTAATTTAATTTGAGCATTGTCCACAATACAGCTTGTAATATTTTTTTATTAACTTATATACTACACAAGCGAATAGTGCTTTTCACTTGTTCTGATTGGTTAACTTGGAGGAGATTAGCAAAGTGCTACAATGTATTAACCTCCTTGCAGCTGAAGAGAAACAATTTAGTTAGGTTAGAAACAGTTTAGTTTGGTGAGTGAAGTAGAAATTGTTTGATTTGCTACTGATGTCGTTATTCAACTTGTGTGGTATATAAAAAAAGTGAAGCCTTGGAGCCAATAGCTCATAGCTGCCAGAGCTTATCCCGGTTTCTGTAGCATGAAGCGGCTAGGAGTATTTCTACTCCCCCT